GTATTTAATTCTTCTGTCATGAAGTGTAATGATTTTTTCACCTCCTCCATATCTTCTGCCAGCTTCTTCGCCATGGTTCAGTATTTTTGTTCTGTTGTTGAGGTAAACAGTTCAGTATCCAGACTCAGGTGGCTGTCCCCAAAATGTCATACAAAAAAATCTTCCAGATATACTCAGCGCCAAAATATTTCCCAAGATGGTTGGGGCACATGTACATTAACTCAGAAAGCTTAAAGTTAAGACCGGATGGCGCGTTTCCTGGTTGATATTTAATGAATCGTCAGAGCTTAACATTCCTGCTTGTCACTGCAGCAGCCATCAAATTATTCCAATTTAATTTAACATTTATTATATATTTTCTACATCTTAATGGCTTATTTTATCATTCTTTGTTGTGTGGCTCCATAAAGCTGGGGTACCTGAATTTCAAATCCAACACAACCCACTTTCTTTTTATAGCACTTTCTTTATTATAGTAAATCGATAAAATAAAAATAAAAATAAAAAATAGAAAAAAAATAATGTCATTATTTTTATTCTTTATTTGTTTATTTGACATTGCACAATAAATGTATTGTTCAGATCGGGACATAGCCACAAGCTCATCTTCATCCGCAGTCCCCGGGCTGAGGCGACAGGTTTACAGTGGGCAAAGAATTCATACATAGAAAGAAGTTTGTGCAAATAACAGTAAAAAAATATAAAAAAATATAAAAATCATGAAATATGATACGATAAACCTCTATCCGTCCATCATAGTAGCACTCGATGCAGCAGAACAGAAGGAGACATGAGAGACATCAAACAGGATCTAATATTTAAGATAATAGATAATCAAATAAGATAATAATAAGATAACAAAACTCTCTAATTGCTCTTGGGTCAAAGATTAGTCACTGTGGAGCATACAGAGGTTTCAGATGTGCAGATGTTTGTATTGTACCGTGGCAGAATAAGACCAGATAAACGACAGTAATAATAGTAATAATATCAGCAGCAGGTAAAGTGTAGAATATCAAATAAACTGATTGGTTTGGTGCTAATTTCCTTATGGCATCTGTAACAGCTTTAGTAAAACAAACACACAACGGGTTATGTACAGATAGGTAAAGGTGCAGTTTATTGATCCCTGTAGGGCAGTTCAATCCTCTGCATTTGACCCATCCTGATGCCACTAAGGCTTACGTCAGGAGCAGTGGTCGCCGTAGTAACAGCGCCCGGGAACCCTTCTCCAGATGTTGATGCTCGGCTTGGTCAGGACCAGAGCTGGAGGATTTAACCTAGTGAGCATGTTTTTAGTGGTAGGGGAAACCGTAGTACCCGGAGGAAACCTATGCAAGCACAGGGAGAACATGCAAACTCCACTCAGAAAGACTTATTATACTTATACCTACAGTACATATCTTTACACACATACAGTACATACAGACGACAAAACTGAACTCTGAATTTTGTAAAGCGCTTTGGGTGACCTTGGTCTGTAAAATGCGCTATATAGATAAAAATGACTTACTTACTTAGAAAACTTTTTAAACTGTCAAACTACAACAATGTTTTTTGTTGTTGTGGTTTTAGTCTTAGAATTTTACCGTCTACGATGGTGTTGGTCAGATTTTTTCAAAACATTTTACCTTCACAATACTCTTTCTGTTGGGACAAACTACACGTGTTATTGATGAAACAGAAGAATTTAGGTTCCCCAGCTTTAAGTAGAGATAACCACCCGTGTTCAGCCAATCAGCTCAGAGCAACATACACATACATCTCCTCTATCAGATTGAAAAAAAAACATTCCTTGTCCTTTCATGTGCATTAAAATGTACCTATGTGTGTACCTATGTATCTATGTGTGTACCTATGTATCTGTGTTTGGTCAAGTGAAATTTAGCACTTTTTAAAACGTGATTTTGATGCCTCTTTGGTTGATAAAAAGGAGAAGGAAGAAGCCAAAGAATGAGTTAATGTTTATGAGTTTGGATGCAGCCGTTGACTCACGGGCCACTTGTTCCTTATTGCATTCAGACTAAGTTGAAAGATCCACTGTGGGGAAATTCCAGGGTTGCATCATCAGTTAACAAGGAGGAATGAGGAGCACACAAGATAAATTAACATTAGCTTTAGCACATTTATATACGATACAATAACTCTATAATACTGTACATAGACGCCTTATTGTATTTCCAATAGCCCCGTTTCCACCAGCCCTACGCTTTATTGTGGTATTTCTGCTTTTATTGCCAAATTTGCGTTTGATCATCTCTGAAGTAAAAGCTGTTTGTGCCTCTATTTATAACCAACAAGAAACTTTTGCTCGTCTTTTAAGGCTTGAAATAGTTTTCTTTCTCGCAGCAGCGTTTGACGACGTCTGAGTCCTGGTTTCAGTTACTTTGAAAAACAAATATTCTTCTGCGTCACCTTCGTACGTCTGTGTCACTTACCTGTGCACTTCCCCCACATTAGAATGAGTCTGGTGTGTGTGTGAATGGTTGGTGGTGGTGGGAGGGGCCGAGAGCACATACTGGTTGCCTCGCTTCTGTCAGTGTGCCCCAGGGCAGTTGTGGCTACACTAGTAGTTTAACATCACTGTGTATGAAGTTAATGAATAATGACATGTGAATTGTCTTTGAGAGTCCAAAAAAGCGCTATATAAAACCGATGCATTAAAATGATCCTTTGTAATGATTAGTTGTAATGATTAGTTGTAATGATCGGTCACTTTTCAGGTCAGTGTGTGGGGCTTGTGTAGCCTGACTCTCGCCAGACCCATGTAGTTCGCTGCACTTCACACATGAGTCTGGCACTGAGCCATAGTGGTTGGATTTCAGAAGGCAGGGCCTTGTAAAAAAAAAAAATCCTTGTATGTGATTGGATAGACCACTTGTCCGTTATCTTGAATGAAGTCTGCTTTCAACCACTCACATCGAAGCACACGGCTCCCATAGGTTGCCAAATCCCAGCAAGATTTTCCAACCCAAAACCCGCGAGAATACCCACACAAAAAAAACACTCAGAATGATTTTTTGGCTAAAAACGTAATGTAATCAACTTGGGCTATCATGATTCTGTTTATTGTCTTTCTGTTTATTTAATACATACAAGTCTCTTGGAAAAAAATATGCTGGAACCACCAAACCTGGCAACCCTGCTGCATAGTGTGTAAACAGGAACCACTGCTTCAACCAAACTTTACAGGAACATTTGACTCTTAAAACACACATATATCAACATAGAACCATCAACATATCGCCTCAAATTGCATTAAAAGTGACATCCGTGTCTTAATTCGATCGTATTTACTCTTTTAAAAAGATTTGCGGACTTTACATCCGCCATCTTGGATTCCTCTCGCTGCTGCATGAGAGAAGCTTGAGAAGGCAGTGCAAACCCCACTAGGGCTTGTATTACGTTAGCAGAGAATTACATACGAATGTGGACCAGCAGACAGAGAGTAACAGCGACACAGGACTCATTCTTAAATATAGCAAAAAGACAATATAGTTGTGTATTGACTTTTTTGGTTTTTTATTTATGGGGAAAAGTAAGATAACCCAGCTTTAAACCATCTGTGAAATTCCCTAAAAAGTTTTTAAAATTTGCCCATGCGTTTTGAGTTTGGTTGATGACACACAAAAACCAAACATGTACATACCGACAAACCCTTGATTACATTACCCCTTACTGGAAGAATAAATAGTACAAAGCTCAATTTTTGTAAGTAATTAAGTAATCTTTATTTAGAATCACAAAGCAATTATTGCGGGAAACCGGAGCACCCGGAGAAAACCTACACAGACACGAGGAGAACATGCAAACTCATCACAGAAAGGCCTGGAGGTGGAGTCGAACCCAGGACCTTCTTGCTGTGAGGCACAAGCGCTAATCACTGTGCCACCGTGCCGCCTTTGTCGAAACTAAAACGCAACGATTTAGTATCAGCTGTTGTTACTATGTGGTCAGTCTGAGAGATTGGGGCAGACTGACCATGTGCCTCAACCTCATGCTGTTGTCTCTGGAGAAACGTGTCCCATGTGAGAGGCGTGTCCCATGTGAGAGGCGTGTCCCAGGCGAGGTGAAGCCATGTCTCTGGTGATTCTTAGTCTTCCCTGCTTTGTGAATCCATAGCTTTCCAAATCCATCGTCTGCATTCACGTCCCTCTGTTCGTACCAAATTTCCCTTACACCAAACCATTACATGATTTTCCCCTTTAAAAACAAGACCAGCTACTGCCGATTTTATTGTGGTGCTTCATCCTCTTTTCTTACAGAAACAGGAAGAGCATTCACCATCTGCGATCTCTGGTCATTGCTAAAAAAGGGACAATCTTAACGGGCTGGAGTCAAGAAATGTGGTCTGAAAAGAGAGGCAAATACAGGCTGAATATTGAAGACTATTGGAATCAGTGAGCTGGGAGGCACACAGACCATCAACAGGGACGAGGGGGCCTTCACCCATTTATTTTGCAGATCGCCAACGCCTAAAAACGGACTGAAGTGATTTTAGCAATGGCCGAAACAGAGACCGACGGAGGGGGAAGCAAAACGGGGTTTCTTCCTGCTCATCACAGTCTATAATTACGATGTCATCACCTGGAGGATGTGTGACAAGCCTCTGGGGCTCCGTGGTCATAATTTTAACAGATGATTTTTCAGATTCTACCAGCTGTAATGTTTTAAAGCTGGCGTTGTTACAAAGTTGGATGTTCTTGATGGTCCCTTCATTTAATGGCAGTGGACTTTTCTTGGGCTGTTCAGTCTCATCCTGGGAGATGGTTGCTTCCAGAATTTTGGTGGGTCCTATAATGGGAGGACTTTCAGCTTCCGAATCCTTCTCCGGAGATTCATTGGACGTTTCTGAGCTTGATTGGCCATTCCCATCTTTGGCGATTTCACATGTCGGAAATGAGAGACTGTCAGATAAACGACTCTCCTCCTCAATGGAATTTTCCATGACAAACTTGTCATGACCAGGACTTTGTATTCCTGAATCCTCCTCTTGAGACTCAGTGGAACTTATTGTTTCTGAGGGTAGGAATGAACCATGTGAGGCGACGGGAACTGGAAAGATTTCACATGGTTTTGAGTGAATGTCATGTTCTTCACATTCTGACTCTGAAGCTTGAACACTTTCGTTTTCCTTCCCTGAGGCCTCATCATCAGAACTATCTGACGTGCCACTGCTTTTCGGTTTGTAGTCCAGTAGTTGCTCTGAGTTTTCTACGTTGGCTAAAGCGGGTAGAAAGTGGCTCATGGTGATGAAGGGGTGAAGGAGCGCCTCAGCCGGAGTGATCCTTTTGTCTGGGTCCACCTCCAACATTTTCTTGAGAAGATCTAGGAAAACCTTTCTGTCCTCATGTTCAATACCAGAAGAGAATTCAAAAGTATTCAATATGACATCTTCTAAGTCGGAAGCAAACTCTAGTGTGTTTTTCTCCATTTCGGGGACGTTTCCCTTTGAGTCCCGGTATTCAAAGATCGATTTAAGTCGCCATTCCCCGGATTTCTCTTGAACAAAGAATCCAGTTCCCTCTTTAGCCCGAGTAATGAGGCCTGCATCAGGGACTCCCAACAGTTTTGTGATCTGTTGGAGGTGGTCATATGGGGATGCAACATTGAAAGGCAAACATTTCAGAAAGCATTCCAGGAGACAGCAGCCAAGACCCCACATGTCCACGGCCTCGGACAGCGGCAGGCCAAGGGTCACTTCTGGGGCGCGGTAAGCTATGGGCTGTATCGAGTCCCCAATGTGCATCTCCTTCTTAAACTTTGCCACGCCAAAATCAATCAGTTTAACTTTGAACGGCTTTGCTTCCTGGTCCACAAACATGATGTTGTCCAGTTTGATATCAGTGTGAATGACACCGACGGACCGGAGACTTTCCAAAGCCACGAGGAGGCCTTTAGCCATGGGCCGGAGTTCTTTTAAAGAGAACGGTGCGTCTCTCTTCTCCATGAACTGGAGGACGTTCTGGTCCAACATTTCAAACTCCATGAAGTGGTCGCCATCAGCGGATCTGAAGCAGTTGTTCAAACGGATACAGTTGCTGGAGTCTGCATCCAGGTCGCCGATGGTACTCATCATTTTGAGTTCACGAAGCCAGAAATATGACGCACGCTTCATGTTTTTTACCTGTTTTAGGGCCACGATTTCTCCTGTGCGTTTGTTGAGGGCTTTGTACACCTCGGCATAAACGCCTTCTCCCATTAATTCCAACAGGTCATACATAGTTTCTTTGTTCCGCTCGCTTGTTTTTGGATGCGACGGGATAAAAGTTTTGCTACCTAGTTTGATGCTAACACAAGTGGGACTCTCTTGAGTTTGACTTCAGCTGAACTGAACACACACATATGGACTGATATCAATAGAACATCTGGATTACATCACCGGAATGCTTGGTGTCATAGCAACTGTTGCCGCGGAGTCAGGGCGGAAACGCAGTGGAACTTTAGAGGCAGGTTCTAGAATGCCATCGTAACGCAGAGAAATCCACCAAATCTACAGTTATTTTTCAAGAATAAATATGATTCTACTTTTAATTTTGAGATGAATATTATTGATTCCTAACAATGAGTGATTTAAGTTGAATCAACAAAGACAAATAATTCAACTACTCTTCTAATTGTTTGGAACTAGGCCTGTCACGATAATACATTTTGTTGGACGATTAATTGTCTCAGAAATTATTGCGATAATATTGTCATTCTGATATAAATTTCATCTAATACAATGATAATGATGCAGGTACAGCTTTTCAAAGAGAAATAAGCTTTTATTTTTTAAGACCACTGGCGGAAGTAGCGGTTGGGCTTTGATGCTAACAGAATTGAGCTAGCAACTTTTTGTGTAAGAGACTTTATATAACAGGAGTTTGTGTTCACGGAGGTGTGCCATAAGTTTATTATATTATCAAATGTTAGTTAGCTAGTTTCGTCACTTCTAGAGCCTGATTGAGAACTCAGGATGGCAGACTGTATGTTCACAAGTACTTTGTCCCCCATTATCAATCCTGGTTTAGTCCTGGTTTAATCCTGGTTTAGGTCCTGTCTTGGCTGTATTTTGTATTTTTGAGTTATTTCACTGCTCGTTAGACCGCTAATGTCCCTGTGACCACTTTGCGGCTCTCTGACCCAAGAGAGAACGGGAAAGAGAGAGACGTGGAAAACAAACAAGCATGAAAATAGAACTTATCGCGGCCAAAAAAATGATTGAGCTAATTTTAATCATCATACGATTAATTGATTTATTGAATATGGCGATAGGCCTATTTGGAACCAAGATTTTAAGGCAGCCCTTGGAATAGGTTTTCTGCCATTTACAGTGTAGCTTTTAGTGGACTTTTGGGGGTGAATGAAACCGCTGTGTCTAGTAGTTTCCAGAGAGCTTTTTTTTTTATCTTTATTGAAGGGACAGTGTACAGAGATTAGGCTCAATAGCTAGTCTCCATCTGCAGTCCCTGGTTACACACAATAATACTGCTATACACACTATGGAGGTTCTCTATCAACCACACAACACTCACACATTCACTACATACTTGCTTTGTTATTATGCTAAAGTTAGAGTTAGAGTTTCCCCTGTAGGACGAATAAAGAATCCCTTCATCTTAAATCATAAAATCCAAATACCATATTTTCATAACTATAAATTGCAATTTTTATATGGTCATTTGATCCCTGCGGCTAATTTAAGATAAGATAAGATAAGAGTTCCTTTATTCGTCCCACAGTGGGGAAATTTCGTTGTTGCAGTAGATTAAGTAAAGTGACATGAGGTAAAGTGACTTTGTTCTGCGACATTCTGAAGTTGCAGTATTGCACATTGCACATGATTTAAGAATTTACTTAATTACAGATGAATGAAATTTACAGGCTCAGCAGTTCTTATTGTACAGTCTGACAGCAGCAGGAAGGAAAGACCTACGGAACCTCTCCTTCACACAGCGAGGGTGAATTAGTCTGTCACTGAAGCTGCTCTCCAGAGCAGAGAGAGTGTCCTGCAGGGGGTGACAGTCATGGTCCAGCATAGATGTTAGTCTGTTCAGGACCCACCTGTCCCCCACCTGCTGCACTGTGTCCAGTGCATAAAACACATAATATGTGTGTTTTTATAGCGGTAGCAGAGTTTATTTTACGTTACGTTATTTCTTTTTACAAAAATCAAATGATCTCGTTTCAAATTAAATCAAATGGAAGGAAGACTGAGAAATATATGAAAAAGCATGTGAATATATTTTTAGTATGGGTCTCTGGTGTCTCTCTGGTCTCTTGCTCTCTCTAATCTCTCCCTGGTCTCTCAGGTCTCTCTCTCTCTGGTCTCTCCCTAGTCTCTGTTGTCTCAGGTCTCTCTCTCTCAGGCCTCTGTGGTCTCAGGTCTCTCAGGTTTCTCTCTCTCTCTCTCTCTGGTCTCAGGTCTCTCTTTTCCTGGTCTCAGGTCTCTCTCTCTCTGGTCTCAGGTCTCTTTCTGGTCTCAGGTCTCTCTTTTCCTGGTCTCAGGTCTATCTCTGGTCTCAGGTCTCTCTTTTTCTCTGGTCTCTGGTCCCATCTCTCTCTCTCCCTGGTATCTCAGGTCTCCCTCTCTCTCTCTGGTCTCTCCCATGTCTCAGGTCTCTTTCTCTCTGGTCAGAACAGCTGGTGAATTTTTACAGTAGATTTAAATCCAAATCAAATAGATACTAAAGATTATGATCATTCCTGTGTGAACCTTGTTTCCTTTTGTGGTTTCTCTCGTTTTGCTCAGTGTTATATCTTCGGCCCATGTCCAACCAGGAAGTGAGAGTCTAAACTTCATTAAACCTTTTTCTTTGGCTTCATCATTTGGATCGACATGTCGTTAGGTGTGATGGTTCTCTTGGTACCCCCTTTTGTCTGTACTTTTATATCCTTCTTCACCTGACCCACATGTAACGAAACAGTTACAGTATTATCGCCATCTAAATCTCTTCCATATTTAGTCATAATATCCGCACTGGGCACGTCTTGTCAAAAAAGACTAGGTCACAAGGCGGGTTAAATAAACGCAGCGTTGTTTTGACCCACCAGCCTGTGTTGCTCAGTGTGGAAGCACAGCACTCCCCTGGGTTATTTTGGGCAAAAAACAAAACATGTGTTGGCTATCAGGCTACATGCTAAGGACATCCCGTCTCTATGGACCAAAGGCTCTGTGTGTTTGCTATTATTGCGTTTCTTGCGTTTGAACAGTTTGATTCTTTGATCTGTTGTTGGCAAATAGACAGCTTTGTAAAGTCCTCCGAGACGACTGCTGTTGTGGTTTAGGTCTGTGCAAAAATACATTGAATTGAATTGATATTGACGTTGACTATTGATAGCCCTATAGACTTGGGATTTGTCTGGAAAAGTGCTTTTTTGTCACTGTTGTTGCTCTTGAAGTTGTAAATCTGGATTTGACACAATGAGATTAAACAAGCAATGTTTTGATTCAGACCTGGAGTCCACGTTTGTTGTAATTAGCCGGGCAAATACCAAGTTTGTGTTTTACTCCATTAGAATTTGGGTTATTGCCTGTCTATGTATGTTTTCTATTCTTTCTTTTTTCACCAAGGCCAGGTTATGACCAAGGGGTCGTGACATAACTATTTTTTGTAATTATTTTTACTTTTTTAACTGTAATCTTTTCCCTTGCATTATTCCTGTTGCCTTGATACATTCTCAAATGTTAGACCAATGGAATTCTAAAGGCAAAAACAAAAAAATGTAGTGTATAAAACTAGAATTAGGGTCATGACACTAACCCTACCTCTAACTCTATCCCTAACTCTAACCCTACCTCTATCCCTAGCTCTAACCCTAACTCTAAAGTGTGAGTTTGCGGGTGAGATGTGAGAGCAGCAGCTGTGCGTAGCCCCGCCCCCTCTGCTCAGAGCTCTCAGCCACAGCTCAACCACAGCTGGTCTGCTGCTGTTTCCATGACGACCACTCTTTTTAGTCATAGTTGGTGACACTTGTGACAAAACGCAATTATTTTACGTCACGTTATTTCCTCAAATGATCTCGTTTCATTGAGTAGATAGAAATATAATGGAAGGAAAACTGTATAAAATGTACAATCAAGTGAGTCCATTTTTATAAGTTTGACTGGCTACAAGATGTTCATGGTTTTATTTTTGTTTATGTTGTTTTGAAAGGTTTACCAGGTGGGTTAGACTCAGTGAATAAGTAGCGCTGATGAGTTGGTGCTGATAAATACGGCTTGTGTGTGATTTCTGAAACATGGCTAACCACTAGAAACCTGTATGAAAGAAGTTAGAGTCTGTGTCCGTGGTCTCCATTCTTTATCTTTCTGGTCTCCCTGGTCTCTCTGTTTCTCTCTGGCCCCTCTTTGGTCTCAGATAATCTCTCTCTCTCTGGTCACTCTGCTCTCTCTCTGTTTTCTCTCTGGTCCCTCTATGTTCTCGCTCTATTGCCTCTCTCTCTCTGCTCTCTCTTTGGTCTCTTTATCTCTAGTCTCATCCTTTCTGCTCTCTCTCTGGTCCCTCCCTGCTCTCTCTGGTCTCTCTCTATCCTCTCTCTCTGCTCTCTCTCTCTCTCTCTGCTCTCTCTCACCGCAGACTCTGGACCAGAGGAAGTCCAGTCCACAGGTGCAGCTAAAAGAAACCAGCTCAGTTTCCTCTAACCCTGTGCTCGGTGACCACAAACCACTGCCAAAGCAGAAGTACAATTGCAATAGTATCTCATGTTTTTGGTCCCAAATAGATCCAGGACTGAGGCTCTAGCTTCAGGAGTCCCATCGCCACGCCACTAAACAGACAATGGGACAGCAGGTGAATAGCTCTTGTCTCTCTCTCTGGTCTTTGTCTGGTCTCTCACTGGTATCTCTCTGGTCTCTCTCTGGTCTCTCTCTGGTCTCTCTCTCTGGTCTCTCTCTGGTCTCTCTCTAGCCTCTCTCTGGTCTCTCTCTGGTCTCTCTCTCTGGTCTCTCTCTGATCTCTCTCTAGCCTCTCTCTGGTCTCTCTCTGGTGTCTCTCTGGTCTCTCTCTGGTCTCTCTCTCTGGTCTCTCTCTGGTCTCTCTCTGGTCTCTCTCTCTGGTCTCTCTCTGGTGTCTCTCTGGTCTCTCTCTCTGGTCTCTCTCTAGTTTCTCTCTGGTTTCTCTCTCTGGTCTCTGGTCTCTCTCTCTGGTCTCTCTCTGGTTTCTCTCTGGTCTCTCTCTGGTCTCTCTCTGGTCTCTCTCTGGTCTCTCTCTCTGGTCTCTCTCTCTCTGGTCTCTCTCTGGTTTCTCTCTGGTCTCTCTCTGGTCTCTCTCTGGTCTCTCTCCAGGACTGAGGCCATAGCTTCAAGAGTCCCATCATCACGCCACTAAACAGACAATGGGACAGCAGGTGAATAGCAATGAACAGAAAGATATGGGAGAGACTCATTTAAACAGTTGTAAATATGACAGTTTGCACACAGACCTGAGGATGTGTGGCCTCTGTCTGCTGGTCCAAACCCTGCTCTTTGTTTGCTCCGTGTTTTCTCTGTGTTTTATCTGTGTTTTCTCAGATCATGACGCTGCTGTTTCCACGTTTCAGCCTTTTCTGTTTCCGATGTGTGAAACCTGATCCTGGCTCTGCCCCGGGGCCGAGCAGAGCCGTGGGAAGTCTGTGTCACATTCACACAAATCTGAAACAAAAACTCCCGTTCCTGGGTCTGAATCTGTTTCTGAGTGAAGTTTGCATGTTGTCCCCGTATCTGCGTAGGTTTTCTCCGCGTGCTCTGGTTTGTCCTACCGCCGTCATTTTGACCTCTCGGTTTGTTACCAATCAACAGTCCGGTAAAGTTCAGTTTTCCACCAGAGCAGTACATGTGCTCTGGTCTCTCTCTGGTCTCTCTGGTCTCTCTCTGGTCTCTTCCTGGTCTTTCTCTGGTCTCTTCCTGGTCGCTTTAGATTCTCTCTCTCTCTGGTCTCATTTTAGCCTCGCTCTTGTCTCTCTCTGGCCTCTCTCTGATCTTTCTCTCTGGCTCTACCTGGTCTCTCTCTGGTCTCTCTCTGGCCTCTCTCTGGTCTCTCTCTGGTCTCTCTCTGACCTCTTCCTGGTCTCTCTCTGCTCTCTAACTGGTCTCTCTCTAGTCTCTCTCTGGTCTCTCTCTGACCTCTCTCTGGTCTCTCTCTGACCTCTCTCTGGTCTCTCTCTGACCTCTCTCTGGTCTCTAACTGGTCTCTCTCTAGTCTCTCTCTAGTCTCTCTCTAGTCTCTCTCTGGTCTCTCTCTAGTCTCTCTCTGGTCTCTCTCTAGTGTCTCTCTAGTCTCTCTCTGGTCTCTCTCTGGTCTCTCTCAGAATAATAAGCTCCTAGTGTCAGACACTGTACTGTTTCTATGGCTGGCCTGAAATGAGGATTTAGGATTCAATTTGTTCAAAGAAAATCATGATTATTCTGTGAAATCTGATGACTTTACATTAAAAAAAGATCTTGTTTTTTCTGAACGTGTCTGACCTCGCCCTGTCTCTCGGAACGGAAACTGACGAGAGAAGTGAAAAAGTGTGTTCCTAAAGTGTTACTAAAGCGTCTGAAAGCAGCTGTCTTCCCGTTATCCGGTTATTTTTGGCACATACTGGCACAGAACGTAATGAGATAAACACAGTATTTTTAGCCCGGGACCGGCACGAGCCCTCGTCCCTCGTGGTTTTTGTGAGCTCAGAGCTTTTACGGACATTTTGGTCAATATTGGATCAAAATAGAGCACTGGGCTCGTTACTGAGAGGAATTAGAACATCATTGGAAAGTCTGTTTACTTCTGCAATTCAGAGAAATGTGAAACTAATACATGGCTCGGACACTCAGAGGGAGGTGTTTTTGTTTTAGTGCTGATAGTTTTGGATCAAATCTGTAAAAAACACACACAAAAAACCCAGACATTTTAAAATTGATTTAAAAAAAAAAGTCAAAATTACATTATACCAAACAAAGGCTTGGCATGTGTCACTTTGCAGATAATGAGGCTGTTTTGTCTATACTTTAGATGGACAATGCTACTGTGCTATCTCAATGAAACCCTCAAGGGAAATGCTCATGGGCGAGGTTTTGCTCCAACTCGCTTTTGATGCTATTGACTTACATTGAAAGTGGTATCACCTGTATATGCAGTCAAAACATACTCTCACAAAGTACTGGTGTCGTGGCTGACAGAGACCAGAGAGAGAGACTAGGGATAGAGACCAGAGAGAGAGATACCAGAGAGAGCGGCTACAGAGGGAGGCCAGAGAGAGACTAGAGCGAGAGACCAGGGAGAGAGACCAGGGAGAGAGGCAAGAGAGAGAGAGGCCAGAGAAAGAGGCTACAGAGAGAGACCAGGGAAAGGGACCAGAAAGAGAGACCAGGGAGAGAGGCTACAAAGAGAGAGAGGCCAGAGAAAGAGGCTACAGAGAGAGACCAGGGAAAGGGACCAGAAAGAGAGACCAGGGAGAGAGACCAGAGAGAGACCAGCGAGAGAGACCAGAGAGAGAGACCAGGGAGAGAGGCTACAAAGAGAGAGACAAGAGAAATACACTATGGAGAGAGACTACAGAGAAAGACCAGAGAGAGATTAGAGAGAGACCAGAGAGAAAGACCAGAGAGAGACCAGAAACTTGAAACCAGAGAGATTCCAGAGAGAGAAACAACCAATCAGAAATGACAGCTCTATCAGATATAACGGGGCTAATCCACATTTGAAAACAAGCTCCAGAATCTTTAAAACTCGCTTACATTCTCGCATGGACCTGAAATACCAGTTGGTGTCGACCTCGCAGAACCATGTGTGTCAAAACGACTCTCACCACCTTATTTTCCCGCCCCTGCAGGAGCCCTGACCAAAGTGAAGGAGAGCCAGAAGCACGTGGAGGAGGGGAAGATGGACCACTCTCAGGCCGAGGGCATCACCGAGCGCTGCAACATCATCTCGTGCGCCACGCTGGCCGAGATCCAGCACTTCCACCGCATCCGGGTGCGAGACTTCAAGGCCCAAATGCAGCACCACCTCCAGCAGCAGATCTCCTTCTTCCAAAAAGTCACCAGCAAGTTAGAAGAGGCTCTGCAGAAGTACGACGACGCCTAGAGTCGGGGGAGACGAGTCCAAATGCACTGGCAGCATGCACGGATGGAGACATATGTGCCTATGGGAGAATGTGGACCAGTGGAAGGGTCTGTGGGGGAATGTGGACTGGTGGTAGGGTCTGTGGGGGAATGTGGACCGGTGGTGGGGTCTGTGGGAGAATGTGGACCGGTGGTAGGGTCTGTGGGAGAATGTGGACCGGTGGTAGGGTCTGTGGGGGAATGTGGACCGGTGGTAGGGTCTGTGGGAGAATGTGGACCGGTGGTAGGGTCTGTGGGAGAATGTGGACCGGTGTTAGGGTCTGTGGGAGAATGTGGACCGGTGCCGTGGTCTTTGAAGATTTATTTAACAGATTGGAAAACCTGATTAACTTTGAAATCTGTTGGCTGTAAAGGCGGAAAAAAGTGTAGTGTGAATGTGTTTGTATGGGGTTTCAGAGAGAGAGACACACACACAGAGAGAGAAAGATCAGAGAGAAAGAGAGAGACCAGAGAAAGAAAGATCAGAAAGAGAGAGAGATCAGAGATTCCAGCGAGAGAGACAGATCAGATCGAGAGAGAGATACCAGAAAGAGACAGGCCAGAGAGAGGGACCAGAGAGAGACCAGAGAAAAAAACAGATAAGAAAGAGACAGATCAGAGAGAAGTTCCAGAAAGAGAGAGACCAGAAAGACACCAGACCTTGGACCTGGGATAATATGTGCCTCAGAACGTGGACCGGTACCGAGGTCTTTGCCGATTTATTTGAGACGGAAAACCTGCTACAGTTTGAAATCTGTGACGATGAAGTGTAATGTGTTTGTGTTCATTTGGGATTTAAAGGAGACGTACAATGAAGAGGAGACATGAGCCCTGTTTACACCAGCTCTACTCTACTCTACTCTACTCTACCCTACTCTATTCTACTCTACCCTACTCTTTATCAACACTTACAGACATAACACCACTGGCTCCTGTGCGTTTGTTGTTATTGCATTTCTTGAGTTTGAACTGTTTGATTTTCTGATCTGTGTTGGTGAATCCACAACATTGTAAAGTCTTTGTATTGAGTTGAGTGGGGCCAATTAGGGGCTGGTGGAAACAGGGCTTTTGCATACTGAGTGTGTTTTTATTATGGGGTCCAGTCTTTGAGCCGTGGCCAGGGCCTGCTGTGCCGCTCTGTGCCGCTCTGTGCCACGTCCTCCTCTGTTTACAGCCGAGCAGCCGCTGCCACGCGATGCCTTCAACGTCACCGTCACTTTGTCTGTAATTAATAACACACTCTACAGGTGATGTCACACGCTCAGGCAAACAGCAGGAGAATGTGGCAATAATAATAATAATAAGTCGGTTTTATACAGCGCTTTTTATGGACACTCAAAGAACTTTCAATCGTCTTTAGCCACAGCTGCCCTGGGGCACTGACAGAAGTGAGGCAACCATCAGCCACCAACCTTTCTCATTCTACGCGATGTGGGGATGAAGAAAGATCAAGACGCTCCTTATGTCCAATCCTTTACAACAGGGGTGTCCATACTTTTTAGTAAGAGGGACGAGCTGGATTTAAAAACCTGGATTCACGCTGGATTGACTGGAATTTAAAATGGGTTATGATACATTCTTGTTGATTCACAGCTGCATTTTATGTGGAATGTTGGGACACAATCAAAAAAAAAATAAGAGTATTAAATCAATAGAGTCAACAACCGGATTCCACTGGGTCTGAGCTTTACAACAAGGTATAGCATGACTGTATCGGTGGAGCTGAAGTTGGTTGGATGACACGATGCCGACTTTATGTTAGCAGCAGAGGGCCGCATAAAAGGACACAAAGGACCGCAAATTGGCTCGCGGGCCTGCGTTTGGACATGTCTGCTTCACTATGATTAAGAATATGTGAGGATATCTTTAGGTGTTGTGGTTCTCCTGGCACCCCCTCCGCTGCTTAGCTGTCAGCTGTTAGCATCGATAATATATTTCACCTCAGACAATCTGTTGAATGTGAGTTGGACTGCTCTAAACACAGTAGTAGTCCACATTTATCCATATTTTAACTATTAAGTGACGTCAAAAGTTTTAGTAACTGTAGAGTGCGCTATTACCCGGGGACTTAATTTACCATTTAAATACTTTTTGTTTTTCTTGCGATTTTCATTTCAAGCACATGACATGACTTTCTTGGGGGGAAACAGGGAACCAGGGTGTGTTTATTGAATCATGAACCTTGAAGAAACTTGCTATAAAAGTTTAAAACGGACCAAACTTGGCAGCGACAGACGAGGACAGAAGTTGAACGCACGCTCTCGAAAGCAGTGATTGGAGAAAGGGGCGTGGCCTGTCGATGGTGTCTGTTGTGATTGTTCGTGTTTACAGAGATCTTCTATTGAAATTTTATAAATGTTTACCTGGTGTCACAGGAAGTCAAAATAAATTCTTTTATCTCTAAAGTATGTGTGATTTTGTGGCTCCCTGCTTGTGTAGTTTTTTGTATTTTGTGGTGTAGCATACAGCTAGCATGCAGGCACCAAGATAGAGATAGATACATGTAGATCGAAAAATAGACAGAGAGAGAGAAATTGATAGAAATAGGTAGATATAGATACTTTATTAATCCCCCATTGGAGAAATTCAAGCATCCAGCAGCAAAAATACATCTTCCAAACAAACATAAATCATTTCATAATTCTAAAAGCCATTCACAATAGCAAAAATTTTATCCCATTTCTGTGATAAAATGGTCAATAACAACTGTAGGTGCAGAGTGGGACATCAGCAGGTGGGGGAGGAGAAAACACAAAGGGACAAATATTTTTGTCTCTGTCATTAAGTATAGACCCTTGTGTGACGTGTGTGTAGTTGTAGAACCTTCTTCATCTGAGACTCATGTAGCAGAGGGGTTAGAAAACAGAAATTCCCACTTTGGTTCGTCCAAAAGAGTCCGTAAGAGAAGTGTTCAATGTTAAAGCGCTGAATTTGGTGTCAAAATTACAAAGGGTTTTTGTTCAGTGTGAAATTGTCTTTAGATTAGTCACAGTACATCACATACATCACTACAGTGGGACTCTTTGGGGAAACGACCCCAGGCCCCGTTGGAGCTCAGGCCCAACTCAATACTGGTCTTACCCTGGTTCCCCTACCTCTCTAGTGTCTCTCTCTGGTCTTTCTGTGGTCTTTCTGTGGTCTTTGGTCTCTCTGGTCTCTCTCTGGTCTCTCTCTGGTCCCTCTCTGGTCGCTCTCTGGTCCCTCTCTGGTCCCTCTCTGGTCCCTCTCTGGTCCCTCTGTGGTCTCTCTTTGGTCTCTCTCTGGTCTCTCTCTGGTCCCTCTCTGGTCCCTCTCTGGTCGCTCTCTGGTCCCTCTCTGGTCTCTCTCTGGTCTCCCTGAGTTTTTTGGTTGGATTTCATCGTTACATCATATTTAAAACAACTTTTCAGCCAAAAGCAGACACATATAAAAGCAAGTGTCATCAGCTCCACTGTGGTTTTACATCATTTATTACAGTATCATGAAATAGAATGTGTGGTTTTATTGACTTTGACCTGTGTCTGTCTCTCAAATCTGACCTCTGGGATTTCAAACTCAACCCTCATGATTCCCTGGTGCCTCCAGTTTGGTCGTGTCCCCTTTAAACCCTTTAAACCCAGACCCGTGTCGTGATCCCAGAGTCCAGTGTTGTTCACAGATGTGCTGACACCGCAGAGATCACACTCTCTCTGAACAAGCTACTCTCTCTCTCTGGTCTCTCTCTGGTCTCCCTCTATGGTCTCTCTCCTCTCTCTATGGTCTCTCTGGTCTCTATCTAGTCTATATGGTCTCTATCTAGTCTCTCTCTATGGTCTCTGTGGGCTCCTCTCTCTCTATGGTCTCTCTATGGTCTCTCTTATCCCTCTTTATGGTTTCTCTGGTCTCTCTCCTCTCTCTATGGTCTCTGGTCTCTCTCCTCTCTCTCTCTGGTCTCTCTCTTCTCTCTATGGTCTCTCTGGTCTCTTTCTGGTCTCTCTCCTCTTTCTCTATCATGTGAGAGATACTGTAGATGAAAAGCAGAGACTCTGAGGTCCATATGTCAAGCCCCAAAGAAATGGGTGTTCTATTTGGAATCCTCTTCATGAAACTCACTGCCTCAGACTTTCTGTTGGGACTTTTATGACGACAGACTTTTTAGTCGCCTTTTTAAAAAATTATGTTTTTATGTAATGTGTGCAAGCCTTGGTCTCTGAAACACATGGGAAATTAAACTTTCACAACCATGACTATGAGGAGAGGAGAGGAGAGAAGAACGAAGAGGGGAGAGAGAAGAGAGCGGATGAGAGGAAGAAGAAGAGAGGACAGAGGAAAGAAGAGAGGAGAGATAAGAGAGCGGATGAGAGAGGAGAGAAGAGGTAAAATGAGATTGGGATTTACTCATTTTCTCTTCCTGCCTCTGGAAAAGCCTTGTTCCAGCTTCTTCCCTCTGGCAGACGATCTCGCTCGCTGAGATGCAGGACATCTGGATAAGCTAACATGCTAACACGCTAACCGCTTCTTTCCACAAACAGTTATCAGTCTGAACAAAGCCCTTCAATGATCTTACACTTATTATTTAAACTGTACTTTTTAGCTTTTTAATGCATGTGTGTGCTGCACACTGGGGACTTTTGCACGTGTATTCCAAAGGGGTTTTACTGCAAATAGTAAATATAGTGAATTTGAATCTAGATGTGAGTTTTTGTGAATGAAGGGCCTGGCTTTTGCTTCTGACGTCTCTCTTTTGCCAAAATTCTGTCGTTTGTCCTCCTTCTTTCTTCTTCACACGTTTTTGTGCCGTTTCCGAGGTTCCTGCATAAAGTCCTGACTCATCGCTCGCCGCCGTCTGCGTCTGGTCTGTGGAATGTGAGGTGTTAGCGTGGACTCAGCAGACTTCAGGATCCATCTGGTTTCACTTTGTCCTGAGCTTTTGAACTGAACCAGAGCAAAGAGTTCCGGCCGCTTTGTTTGTACTCACCCCATCGCTTCATGATCACCGCGGGGAAATCAGGTGGACTTTAAAGC